AAGCAAGAAGTTTTAATAATGCCAGTATTGTTATCTACCTAGATGCACACTAAGTTGTCCTCCAGTCTTCCCATCCACAAGTATTTTAAAATCCCTCAAATGTATAGGTGGTATTCCTTGATTACCATTGCTGGCACTTGCTGCAGAACCTCCAGTACCTGCAGTTGACGCATTCGAAGGCGCCTGAGGATGATGATGAGTAACATTGTGCAGAGGATGCAGAGATGAAGTCACGCTGGACGCTTCGCTACTTTGGGACGAAAGCGAGCATACTGATGCAGACTCGGAAGCTAAAAATAGTTAAAATTGAAACAGATATAATAAACAAATTAGTCTACTTTGCAGTTACACTTGAGGAACACCAAAATTTGAAAATATGTATACTTCTTACCATCCTCTTCATTTTGAGCACACTCGCTTGGATCCTCAATAAGAATAGCATCGGCCATAGGAATTTTTCCAACATCTGGTACTAAATGGAGTCTTCCACCAGATGTTCTAAAACACAGAAACAATTTAAGGAAAACAGTTTTTATGGATAAATTTTATACTTTAAGTTGCTTCTACATTTTTTTATTTATATACAATAAGAAAGAATTCACTATAAGGTTTTAACAATATTTGAAACAAAGTAACAAGTAGCAAAGTAAAAATTAAATTATGTTTTTATGGAACAACAATAAATAAGAGAATCCAATTGTAATCATTTTCTCTGATAGTAACGGTAAATTTTTAATAAAATTTTTAATTTCATACAACAATACCAGTAAGAGCCAGTACCATATTTTATGTGATTTATTTTATTCAAATTATTTACCTGGTTGCAATTATAAGGTGATTCGAGAATAAAAAGCATTGCCTCAACGTATCTCGTTCACTTTTGAAAGATGCTAATCTAGAACGGGTACCTCGGGCTCCTCGAGTCCTACTTGCAGGCAATTGTACTAAACTTCCTGAAAACAGCAAAAAATATAAGTAATGAAATAAATTTTTAATCGTCAAAAAATAGACTTTTTAATATCCCGTGGCATGTTAATCGAAAATAATTTTTTTTGCATTTCTTTACGTTACAAAGTCCACGATTTCAGGCGCACGGATCAACAGATTTGAATAATTTAAGGAACATTCGATTCCTACTGATGGAGAGATATGCTGATTGTTTTTGACAAAGACAGGCCCAGTCTTTTCAGAGATACGGGGCGAAGAGTGCAGAAAATACAAATCGAGCTTTTTAGAGAACAGACTTTTAGAGAATGATTCAAAGAACATTCAATTCATAATGATGGGGATAAGTGGTGATTAGTTTTTGGCAAAGACAGGTCCAGACGTTTCGAAAATACGGAGATAAATGTGCAAAAAATGTTAGTTGATGAGAGTTATGAGGGAATGAAGCATCCGAATTAAATGGTTCATAAAACATTTTGCATGTGTTGATATTGTGAAGAAACGATTAGTTTTTGGGGCAAAGTAACAACTTTTTTTTTATTCTGTTGTTCTGTCATTGCCAAAAAAATCTTTTATAATATTGAAACTGATTCGGAGTTTAATTTTAATTCTAGACAAAATTCTAAAGATTTCTTCATTTCCGAAACGGCTGAACCCGTCTTTGCCAAAAAATAATCACCACTTTTTTCCATCATTACATATTGAATGTTTTTTGAATCATTCAAATCGGATGGTCTGTTCTCTAAAAATTTAATTTATATTTTCTGCACTTTTCGCTCCGTATCTCAGGATGGACCTGTCTATGCCAAAAACAAATCAGCAAAATCAGTAGAAATCGAATGTTTTTTGAATATTCCATATCGGTTGAACCGTGCGTCCAAAATCGTGGACGAAAAATGTTTAGATACCACTGAAACGTGAAGATATGCAAAGATATTTATTTTTGGACTATTACTATTACTTACTTAAGGTAAGTTAATAAATATATAAAATATTTGTAACTTCCCGAAAGAGAAGTTTGTTTTTGCGAAAAAATCCGATTTGCTAATTTTATGTTTTCTCGACGTTTCAAAACTTTCTGAATGAAATGAGACCAATCTTGGAAAACGTGAGTATGTGAGCCATGACGTCTTCCCAAAAACGGTTGAACCGATTTTAAATATTCAAAAGCCATTCGATGTAACTCGAAGAGGACGACTAGCCTTTGCTCTGCTTTGCGCGACGATCGGCCGAATCATTTCTTTTTAACTTGCAGTTGATTAGTTTAGATATTATGAAACGCTTATTTTTGAAAAATCATCAAAGTTTAAAAAATAAGCACCGTTTTTGACGTTTTACTCAAATTAGCTTTTTCATCGCCTTTTTTTCAAAAACCGCTGAGTTGATTTCAAAAATTTAAAAGCCATTCGATAAAACTTGATAAGCATTTATGTTTATCCATAAAACTTTTTATCCAAGTGGATAGCCAAAAATTTAGAATCTATTTTGAAAAATCAAAGTGTTCGAAAGATATTATTTAGGAATTGTGCTGATTAGTTATGGACAAAGATCGGCCAGACCGTTTCCTCGTAAATGATTGCTAAAAAAAATTCGACAATTTTAATGAATCTTTGTACGGCAGTAGAGCACGTTGTCCTGAACATACATAAATATTTGAGTCCTACGAAAAGTGGTTTAATTATAAAAATTAATTATATTTGAATTATTTATTAATTATATTTGAATTAATTATATTCGTGTACGTATTAGTTAATATGTTTATTTTTCATTAATGTTCGACAAGAAATTCTGTTCAAAATTGAATAATCTTATAAACCACTCATAAATTAATATATTGATTGCTTATTTTAAGTCGATCATGTACACATTGAAAGATCATGCAATCTGACTAAAGACAAAATGCCACTTACAACCAGTCATATAATCGATTTTACTAATGCCGCTTTGTAGTTGATGTGGAGTCTGTTCTAAAATCCAAACCCCCATTTACCTACCACTAGATAGAACCACTGTATCAAAAGCACAATCAATACAGATTTTTTGCCAAATATGTAAAAAAACATGCATAAATAATGAATTGTAAGAAAAATAAATGCAAATAAAAGTCGAAATGTGTTTAAAGAACGTGTATTTCGACATTCCGACAAAACAACAGAGAATTTGTGTTACACAACATTTAAAATTCAAAAGAATCACATTGAGATTTGTTTGTGCTTTTTAAATATACAGATACATACATATTTTTATATTAATAAAATATACCTAAATTTGATGTAGATATAATATAAAGCTTCAATTTAGAAAGTGAAGTCGTTGAACTTGTTGTAAATTTTATTCACAAAAAATAAATTAGCTCTGATTTTGGTACATTTAAAATAGATTTAGGGGCCGATTCTCCGATAAAATAGACCGCAACAAAACGTTGTTATGGCTATGTTGGGATCCTTTTTTTATATAAATTGGTAGTAAAAATGGTAAAAATGCTAAATATTTGTTGTGCGATCATACGTTTTGCACTTAAAACTTAACATCACGTATGACACATCAAAAAGATCCACTTATAATAACATTGTGATTGACATGATTTTTTTTATTTTAAAAACATATATTTCAATAAATATAAATGTATAAATGTGTGTACTTCTAAATTGGTTCGAATTTTTATCCATAGGTATATTATCCGTCATATCTCTTCTAGTAAAACAATAATAAGAATTTAAAATATAAAAGTTGTGACATAATTGTATGACAAAAAAGAAGTAGAAGAAAAATTTTACTCCAAAATCACATAACAATATTTATAATAATAAATAATTACACAAAAAAACAAAACAAAAAATTTATTCGCTCTGAAGGGAAATCAAAGTGACGAGCCAAGTATCATTTGCTGTTATGGGTCGATATGGATATAGTTTAGTATGGCGTGTTTGCTATACCAACCTATGTCTTTAGTAAATTGGCCGAGACCCGCGATGTTGGTATTAGGGTGATCCCCACATTTCTGGTAACAATTTTCAGTGAGCTTTTTAATTTGTTCGAGTATAGTCGGTACGTCAGTCTGTTCAGGTAAATATTTTGTTGAGTAATAGTGTCTCGTCAGTGGTGGTGGGTCCGTTGATTTGTCGAGTACTAGTCGTAAAGCTTTGTTTTGTGCTATCTGTAGTCTCCGTCGGTTGGTCTTAGTTGTCGCGTTTTATGCTGGAGCAGCGTATAACAGTAATGGTTTTATAAGTGCTAAGTATAGTGTCCGCTTGTTCTGCACGCTTAGCGCGCTGTTGTGGTTCAAAAGAGGTCTGAGCAAATTTATCATTCCGTAAGCCTGTCCAATTTTCGTGTTAGCATGTTTTGTCAAGCTACGTTTATGGTCCAAGGTCGCACCAAGGTATTTGACATCCTTGGACCACTTAACTTCTTGGCCTACTACTTTTAGTTTTTCCAAGTCGGTCAGTGTAATGGACCTGCGACCTTTGTAAAAAAATATAGTAGTAATATAATTCTCTGGGTTATTTTTAATTTAACACTTGTCCGTACAGTCTGTCAATGTGTCTATGTGTGCCTGTATCTTTGTAGTCAGTAGCATTGATGATTTGTATATGGCAGTGTCGTCAACAAATGTTGTGTTGGCGTCATTGGAGATGTCGTGGATGTAGACGTTAAACAGTGACGGACCCAGGATCGAGCCGTGCGGTACTCCTGCCGTCACTTGTTTAACCGTCGAAAGTCCGTTGTCCAATTGTTCGGAAAAGTTGAGTACGATTGACAGTTTTTACTACCAATTTATACGAAGAAAGGACCGTAATATAGCGTTGTTATGGCAACGCAGGTTCATTTTATCGGAGAATTGGCCCCTTAGCATTTCACAACTCCAAAAGTACTACTAAATTATTTAAAATAATAATAACGATTTTTTTAAGTATTTTACTTTTGCTGCACTCTTTATAAAAAGCCAAATTATGTCAACTGAATAAAATACTAAATATAAATTTATAAGATTCTTAAATATGCTCTAAAAACATACTTTTATAATTTTATATTCGAATATTTGAATTAAAACTGAGAACTTGGGTATTTTGAACTAAAATTTGTAAAAGTCAATTTTTAAATTCTTGATAAGCTAGAATTCATGCGTTGTAAAAATAATATTATATTAAATATATAAGTAAATATAAAAAAATAGCAATGCAAGTCTAATTTATAGAATATAATGATAATTAATGGATAAAAAATCATTTTAATAATTATAGCAGTAATAATGCATATAAGTAATGCCAAAATATGCTTTGAAGTTCGTAATTAGAGTGCAGTATCTAATACGATATAATAAAAAGCTGCTACTAATAGTAAACATATGGAATAATGCTATTATATAAAGAAAATCAGAACTAATTTTATCAACATTAAAATAAAATTTGTCATATTTTTAAGAACTCGAGCTAAAAATTTTTATCTAACCCAACGTGACTATATTTTGTTTTTCAAAATAAATATGAACATGATTACTATATACTAATATACTTTTTGAATGTTTATTTTATATAAATCATAAACGTGTTTTTTCATTAAAATGGCATAATAACACTCATAATCTTTCACTTCATATATCAATTTTTACACCAAATTTTAACATCAAATTTTCTCTTCCTATGAAAATATACGACATTTATCCTACATATCATATTTGTTTTTTTTTTTAAATTTAATGATTGCTTTAGGATTTATGATTGATTGGTCAACAATTGATTGTAATAGAGTTATATTTTTCTTGGTCTTTTTGAATTGGTGTTTGAATAATTTGTGCAGCGTAATATTTTCTTTAATGTAATATTGGCAATGATTAAACCTACAAAACATTCTCGAGGTGACCAGCAAAAATCTGCTCTCTGATATTAGCAAATATTATTTAAATTATTTAATATACCGGTCAGTGTTGTTTTTAACAAAATGGTTATACATTCAAAAGATTTGATGGTATTATATAAAATCCAAAAAATTATTCACCCCGAGAACTTTTTCCTAAATACTATATAATTAGACAAAAAAAGAATACATGGAGGAACAAGTGATCCATGCACAAAACATGACTGACATACTTTAAATATATATTTATTGCAGAAGTATGTTTCCAGAATGCAACTAACCTTGCCTGACAAACACTTGATTGACGTCTAATAGGATGTCACATCCTTCGACAATCATCCTTTCTACTGCTAAATTTTTGCGTAAGTTTTCTGTTTCACTGACTTCATCGTGCATCTGTGAAAAAAATTATAAATATATTTGATATACTAAAATTAGGTTCTATTATAGAAAAACTTTTAGAATCCTCCTAATTTTTTAAGTAAAACTTCTTTGGGCGCGACTAGGATGTAAATACGTACAAATGCAACGGAAGTCCGTTACGCCCGATCCGTTCATCATTCGCTCTCGTTCATTTCTATACGGGTCGATTGTGATTAGTCGTCGTGTATGTGAATAGAGATCTGTCGTTGTATGCGTACCGATATCAACAAGGAAGTCGGCATAGATAAATAAACATTTTAAAGTTACATCATAGTACAAATCTTGATTTAATGAAAAATGTCTGAATCAGAAGAATATTTTATCCTGTTTCTTGAAAATATTAAAACAAATTAAACATTTGTGCCGTGTACTAAACGTAAGTTTATTGATTAGAAATTATTTCTGTATTATTCGTAGTTTCTATAAATCTTTGAAGTTATTAAAATGGAAAATATTTTTAGGCAAGACAAATATTTCAGCTGTTCAAAGAATGAGATTATATCGCCAGTAAAAACGTAAAAAACTACAAGGGGTCAATGAATGTATGTTAATTTTAATTACATAAAGTTCTTCAAGCACAATTACATGATGAGTGAAGTCGCAAAAACAATATATTTTAGGCGTGTGAACAAATATTATTGAATTTATTAATCAGCAATTACTTCATTTCTCTAATGAAGGTTCAAGTTTTAAATGCTAACTACAATGACAAACCGATCATGTCATATTTGAAGTATGACTTTAATTACATTATTGTTTTTAAATATTACTTACACATATTTTTAATGCTATTATAAATATATAATTTATAATTTATCGTTATATAAATGTGTATAATGGTTGACACTAATAAATGTGTGCATCTCGAGTGTTACCATATTACTAATAAGTATGATTCAAAATTGTTATGTGATGTATTTATTTTTACTTAAATGCCATCTTGTACAGTAGCAAATAAGTTTTACTTCAATCGCGTGTGAACCTTACGCGCACTCTTATTTTTTTAATTGGGATAAGTACGAAGACATCAACAGACTTCAACTGTACTGTTATTATGAAATTTATTGGTTTTGCATCATTTTTTACCTGTCTTGACAGATCTTCCAATTGCTGCCTTGCATTTTGCAAAGATCTGCGTTCAACATGATCATGTGGAGTATGTGCCAGCAATTCGTGCAATGTTATAATGTACCGAGGTATCTAAAACGAAATAAATAATTTTATTAACAAAATTATATTTAAAAATGTGCTGTGATATTTTTATACCTGGTGCATTGGATATGTAAGAAACGCCTCAAGACTCCTTCCCTGGCAAGCTGGTTTGTTCTCCAGCCTGGTCAATAAGGCTGCAAAAGGTGCTGATCCTTTACATTCTGTTAGTACTTGAAGACTATAATGGTGGTTGCGGACGTATTCTTGGTAGATGCTCAACATTGGTAGAAGCATATCGAACAGATCACCTAAGAAAAAACTAGCTGTAAGTGGAATTCTGTCTTAAGGCAATTAGGGCATCGTGCCTTAAGGCAAATTGCTGGAACTTCCCGTACCAAAAATTATTATTTTTTTTTTAAAACGATTAACATTTTTGAAAAAAAATTACTTTGAAAAAATAAGATTTTTGAGAAACTATAAATTGGACAAAAAATTAGTTTTATTTTGAAAAAAAAAAATTTTTTTAAAAAATTTTTTTTTTTAAAAAATTTGTTTTTTTTGAAAAAAATTTTTTTTCTTTATTTTGACATATTGTGGAAGATCTGAACTTTTTTTTCAAAGCAATCGTACTGCTTTAACTACATAGGGACAAAATATAAAGCGCGTAAGCGCCGCGTCGCTGTCTTACGCATAAGCATTGGTACGGAACCGATAGGAATGTTAACAAAATGTATACTTATTGTTAAAATCTCTATAAAATGTCTGATAATTTGATGTGCATATGTCTAATGATCATTTTTGACCGCCAAATGGCTCATTTTTTTACTTTTTCCTCTATATCTCCGAAACCGCTGGACCTACCTTCATGAAAGTTGTATCGATTCTTCATCTTGTCAATACAAGTGAAATGTTTTTTGAATTATTAAAATCGGACGCTCCGTTCTCTTAAAAACTGAGTTACCGTTTTCGGAACTTTTTGCCCCGTATCTTCGGAACGGCTTGACCTGCCTTTGCCAAAAACTAATCAGCACGTCTCCTTATCAATACGGATCGAATGTTTTTTGAATTATTCAAATCGGTTGATCCGTGTTCCCGAAATCGTCGACGAAAATTTGTATCCGCACATACATACACACACATACATACATACATACATACACACACACATACACACACACACACACACACACACACACATACATCCATTTTTTCTAAGGTATGCCAAAATGTTCAGAAACCTCTGAAACGTAAAGATATATAAAAATTTTCATTTTCGATTTTTTTGCGATTACTATAACTTGCCCTACGGGAAGTTAATAATCGCAATAATATAAATTATTAAATAACTAAATATAAGAACATCAAAATACTGAAAATGTTAAGGTAGCAATTGCTATACAAAAATTGTGATGATTATTGGAACATTTAAATAATCAATTTACTCAAAAACCAGTGCTGATTTATTCTAATGTAATTTCAAATAATCTCCTTACCTAATACCAGTGTTGGCCAAGATTCCAATCTTGAAGTAAGTCCTTTCAAAAATATTTGGTGCAAAAACAGCACAGTTTCACTATTCAAAAATATCGAATTTACATCCTCGTGAGAGCAAGGAGGTCGTTTTGAACTCGCTGCCATTTTAAATGGACGCAGAAAACATGAAACGAGGACTTCCATTTGTTCCATGTATTCTTCCTCAGCTTCCACCTGAAATACATTATATACGAGAAGAAAAACAGTATTTTAGTTTGAATAGAATTTTTGTTATACCATTCTGAAGACCAAGCTGTTTCGTTTTCGCATGCTTTCAGCATGAGGACTTTTGATGTACTGCTCTACGATTTGTTTCCAGCGTCTCCTGCAAAGCCAACCACGGAAGAAACTTTGCACTTTCTTGATTTTTCGTAGTTCCTGATTATCCTGAAAACGATTGATAGTTATTTTAACTGAACAAAGAAAATTTAACTGATTTTTCGTCATTTTGAAAATTTTTGAACATTTTGGCATACCTCAGAAAAAATTGATGTGTGTGTGTGTTTTGTATGTCCGCATTTTTTTTCACGTTTTCGGGTGCACGGATCAACCGATTTGAATGGTTCAATAACATTCGATTCCTATTGATAAGGAGATGTGCTGATTAGTTTATGACAAAGGCAGGTCCAGCCGTTACTGATATACGGAGCAAAGAGTGCAGAAATTACAAATCGAGGTTTTCAGAGAACGGAGTATCCGATTTGAATGATCTAAAAACATTCAATTTTTAATGATTGGGAGAAGAGATGATTAGTTTTTAGCAAAGGCAGGTCCAGCTATTTTAAAGATACAGAGCTAAATGTGCAAAAAATGGCAGTTTTTGAGAGAACTAAGCAACCGATTTGAATGATTCAAAAAAGTAATCTATTTAAAAACATTTAATAATCCTCGAATATTTAATTACGGTACGGAAAATTCTTGCAATTTGCTTTAAGGCACAATGCCATTCACCACTAGTTATTTTTAATTTTAATGAATTGACAATGTTTGACTCATCACGGCACAGAAGCAACTTTTGACTCAAATTTTTACTATAATAATTCTCAAACTTTGATGAATTTTTAACATTAATCTATTTGTCGTAGGGCCGTAACTTTTTAATATGTTTTATAAGAACATGATATCTATTGCCAAAAAAGGTTCATAAAAATCGGCATTTTTTTCAACAGTTAATTGCAGGAAAACGGCTCGGTAGATTTTTATCTAAAACTATAATCAGTATCATTCCCAACCAATATTTTTCGAACAGTTTTTGATTTTTTAAAATCGGTTCAGAATTAAGAGCTGAAACGTGGACAAAATTTTTTTCACTTTTCTGCTATTTACAAAAAATCTGTTCACACACACACATACATCCATTTTTTTTAAGGTATGCCAAAATGTTCAGAAACCTCTGAAACGTAAAGATATATAAACATTTTCATTTTCGTTTTTTTGCGATTACTAGAAAAATACATGTTACGTGGGCATATTTTGTACAAAGATCTTGAATTTTGCCAGAAGAATTCATCATTAGAGTTGTAATAACTGTTAATTCAGTCTTTACTACAATTGTTTTTAAAAATTATATTAAATAGAAAATGATTCTATTTGCATATTGTTTACAGTACCCTTGTAAATTTCAGATGATTATTTACCTCCATCGTACATGTATGTAAGCTATTTTAGAAGTAATATAAAGAGAACTGTTGAACTTACTTGAAAATAACAATACACCTCATGAAATAATTAAATAACGTATACCTAGAAATTATATTAAGGTATCGCAAACAAAATGATATTGCTCAAAACAAAAAAAGACGAAAAAATACCTTCGTTAAAAATTGAGCATGTGTCGTTTATCTCTCGACAGTAACATTGCTCGATTTATGACAATGACTAATTTCATATCTTTTACGCTCTACTTTAATATAGTTTAGTTAATAAAATCCAATGTTTACTTGTTTTTGAGGTAATGATGGTAAATCTTTTTATCCTCTGACTTTTGAGCCTCGCATTACCCTATAGAAGAAAACATCAATCCTTACTTGTGGTATTGGAGAAACTGGTTGACTGCCAGATCCAATGCTGGAGGTCCCCAAAGTGGCACAGCTACCACTCTGTTGTGTTAAAGAAGGTACTGCTGGAGTGCTGGGTCGCCATTCTTTCTTCAAAGCACACAACTGTAATAAAATAATATTAAACGTTATGCTGGCAAGAAAAGATAAAAGACGTGGTTGAAAACGTTATCTGGGATGAAACTATAAAATTTTTATAATAACTTGTAAATGAGTTCTGATAAACGATTAAAGTTAAACGAGTTCATATAAGTAGATAACTTTACCTCGGCTCTAAGTTTCTTAATTTCCGAAGCTAATTCTTCACAGTGTTGCGTATATTGCCATTTTGCAGTTTTCTCGCTTTCCACGACTTGGAGCAGATGCAAATGTTTCTGCTCCAATTCTTCTTTCTGGAGCAAAAGTTTGTTGAAACTGAAATAAATAAACGAACATATATAATTTTGATCAGTTAACAATTTGCATCATAAAATTTTTAGCATAATAATAAAACTAATTTGCACATATCAAATAATCAATTTTTATCAAAGCACAGGCTAAGGACCAAATTATTAAATTCCAAACCCTTGAAATCGTTAATTTTAAATAAAGTAAAAAGCTATCTTATATTTAAATATACATGTTTATATGAATGGAGATACTAAATTATGTTACACATTTTTAACTTCTCATAGGGTAAGTTATTGTAATCATCCAAAAACTGAAATTGAAAATTTTTGCTTGCCTTTATGTTTCGAAACATTTTGGCATACCGTAAAAAAAAATTAATGTATACGTGTGTGTGTGTTGGCAGGTCCAGCCAATGTAAAAAAATGGCAGTTTTTGAGAAAACTAAGAATCCGATTTGAATGATTCAAAATCTTAATGCTTGTAAGTTGACAAAACGATTGCTTTTGGAGAAAGAATTTTTTTAGTTTCAAAAAAATTTTTTGAAGTAAAACTTCTTTAGGCCTGGTTGCGCCTAAAGTGTAAATCCGTACAAATGCAACGGAAGTGCGTTATGGCAGATAAGATAAGATAAGAGTCAAGTGTCAATGATTCGTCATTCGCTCTCGATGATATCATTTCTATACGGGTCGATTGTGATTAGTCATCGTGTATGTGAATAAAGATCTGTCGTTTTATGCGTACCGGCATCATGCGTACCGATATTAACAAGGAAATCGGCATAGATAAATAAACATTTTAAAGTTACATAGCAGTGAAAATGTTGATTTATTGAAAAATGAAATCAGAATAATATTTTACCCTGTTTCATGAAAGTAATGAAACAAATTAAACATTTGTACTAAACGTAAGTTTATTGATTAGAAATTATTAACTTCCCGTAGGGCAAGTTATAGTAATCGCAAAAAAATCTAAAATGAAAATTTTTATGTATCTTTACATTTCATAAATATATAATTCATAATTTATCATTATATTTTTTAACTTATTTAATTTTTTAAACTTATATAAATGTGTATAATTGTTGACACTAATAAATGTGTGCATCATAGGTGTTACCACATTACTAATAAACATTATTAAAAATTGTTATATGATGTATTTATTTTTTTTAACTTAAAATTGCTACTTTGTAAAGTAGCAAATAAGTTTTACTTCAATCGCGTGTGATCCTCACGCGCACTCTTTTTTTTAATATCGAAAATATTTTTGATTTAAATTTTAATTCTCTTCTTCAAATACATAATTTCAACTTTTCAATTCAGTTTATATAATTCTTATAAATATAAGACATTGTCCTTCATTTTAAATCAGATTGATTGAATTTTCTTTTTTATTTTTCTTTAATAAATATATAAACGTCGTCGTCTAATTCATACGCTCTTATATTTTGTCTATAAAATAAGAATAATGAAAGTTACATAAAGTTAATCTATTTGATAACGTTTAATATACCTTTATTATTAATCTAATTAATTCCATTATATTCGAATATTTCATTACGGTACGGAAAGTTACGAACCACTATACTTCTAAACTTTATTACAAAATGTTTTATTTTCGCTTTTGTCATAAATACAAACAGCAATGAAAACAACATTATTATTTTTTATGATTTATATCATTCTCCTACATAAACTGTAAAATAAAAAAAACTTTCTACCAGTAATATTTCAATTATAGTAATCTATATTTGATTGTAAATTGTATTTTTTTTAAATCAATACACTAAGTAAATTATTTATCGAATTTATTAATTAGTTTCACCCTATTTCTATTGCTACAATTATAACTTTTCGAATTATATTGCCATGAGAAAAATAATTATCGATTCGTTTATAATGAAATATTTATTAAGTTTTTATGTGCTTGATCAAAAAATTCAATAAAACACAAATTATATATTACAATGATTCAGGATAATTAATTTAATATAAACTAATTTGATAATGTCGTTTTCATTAGTATGAATATTGAATAAAGAACGAATAATGAACAAAGTTATGTGAAAGACATATTAACAGAATGGTAAAGTATCTTTGAAGAAATATATAAAATGCTCGTGTCATGTTGTTTGTCAAAAACGGTTTGACCGATTTTTATGAAATTATATATTCGCGATCAGTATTGCTGAAAATCGACAACATCTATTTTTCACATTCCTAAGTGGTAAGGTCAACCTACCATTGAGATTTGTTTAGTTCTTCAAACATTATTATCTTTTTCATAATTTCATAACTCAAAAACGCATGAAACCATAAATTTTTACCCTCCTACCACAAACCCTATTCAATTTAAACCTAAATGTCAATTTAATAATCGATGCATTTTTCACCTCGCATGCAGTCAATAAATGTTTGTGACTCAATTTTAGTTACATATCTTTAGTGTTTATGAAAAACTATAAATTTTACTTGATAAACAATTTATTTTTATCAAAGGTTATTTAACTCTAACACTTTTTATTAAATTTTGTACAAAAATACACACATCTCAACACAGCATCTATTACATTCTCATATCACTCTTCTTATTAAATAATAGTCATTTTAGTAATCCAATCATTTATTATATCATTTAGCACTATCAATCGTCTTTTTGTGAACGTTTTTAATGGAATTTCGATGAAGATTACTTTTTTTCTGATCTCTTAACAGTAATCAGAACCTTACGTCCTATGATATGTTGGTCTGAAACTTCTCCTTACCATTGTATTTTTTAGATGGTACCCCAATAGTTAATCCATCCATATTTGATGATTTTATTATTAGAATTTTTCTAATAGGGTTAACTTTTTATTGGTTCAGCAATGCCAGGCAAGGGCTATATTCACTTGGAAACATATTGCTATCTATATTGCAAAGTGAAAATTGTTGTCACTGCTACCTAACAATAGACTGACCCAAGTAGGTATCGAGCCCGGGACCTCTAAATCAAGTCCCGTCGCTCTTAACCGCTTACCTACGAGCGAGCCCGATTATATTAAAATATATTAAAATCAGAAGATGCAACTGTTTTTAAGAGGAAACTAAGTACCATATAAATCTATGGTAAAGCTGTAAAGTTTTTCACGCAGGTTTAGGAATCACACTCGATTCTCTAGATGAACTTAATTCAAAATTGATTGGTTGGATTAAAAAATTAACGGACTAATGGCAAGCGCAGTAATAATAAGTAAATAGATACCTTGAATCTCCAAATATGTCAAATCAATTTAAATTAAATCAGTTTAAGGTTAGGTTTCACTTGAAATCATATGCCTCAGAAACATTTATATGTGGCATGCGTTGCAGTGAGTAAACTGTCAATATAATTTGTGTTAGATGCCCCTTTTACTTATATGCCACATACTTTCACATTCACAATTAGTTTGCTTATTTTTTGTAATAAAAACGTTCTAGAAACATTTCTGTAGCTAAACTTCTTTCTTTATTGAGCCAATACGATGAAGTTGAATTACTAGGTTGACAAAAAAAATCATTTACCATCTTCACAATCATTTATCTCTTACAACTGTCATGAATCTTGTTTTGGTAGATATTTTTATTTGAATTATCATAATCAGACTCATTGTTTATTGAAATACAATGATTACAAAAAAAACTAATGCAACTTTTGTTTGAAACACATATTTAATAGGCACATTTTTTATGAAGATCGCTCTGGAGACAACCTCCATGTAAAACTATATTATAAGAATTCATTATCAGAGTTGGGACAAATATTAATTTAATTTATCTTTCGTAAATTTGCTTTTTTAACTTTATTTTATATTTTTATTTACTAGTTTCTTATTGTTTACATCTCGACAGTACGAAGATTTATGTGGTCCCTTCTACCCCGACTACATAAGCTAATATGATATTCTTGAATCTAACTCAAAAATAACAATGAATCTTAACAATTAAATAAAGAATACTTAAAAATTATATTCACGTATCGCAAAATGACGTAACCAAACAGCCCTTAGCAAAAAAAAAAAGATTTCATCACCTGACTAGATTTTCTTTCTTGTCCAATGGGATGTAAATTGTAGTAACATTTTCTTAATATATAGAAGGCGGATTACGTTTATACATATACCTCGCATTGATGAATTCTTAAAATTTTTGCTGCAAAACTGCTTATCTAAAACTTTA